GCCAATGTTGGCCCGACGTCGTGTGCTGTCTGGGAGAACATGCATTAGCAGTTTCAAAATATATTTGTTATGAAACACATACTTTTCACTAGTAGGAAGTTTTAGTAGAGCATTCTATACCTCCAAGAACGACACACTATAGATCGATACGACGCCCGCACAAAGGCGTCAGCAGACTACTGGGTATTGTTTGCGGACTTACTGCAGCAATTGACTAAAACTAAATAATACCCGTTGATTGGTTGTTGTGAAAGCATTCTCCTCAAATGATACTAGTGAGGGACTATATACATGATCAGTAGCACTTGTGCAAAGTGTAGGGAGTGGTTCAGATGTCTAAGAAACAGTCATACTTCTTTCCATACAGGCGACAGTGGGTACCCCCTGGAGCCCTGGCTGCTGACTCCTGTGCCTGGGCGGCCAGCACTTGGCACACCGGCTGGGCAATACAATCAGGCCCACGCCTCCATGTGGGCAGTCGTGGAGCGCTGAATTGGACTGCTGAAGAGCAGGTTCCGGTGCTTGCACAGGCACCGGACCCTTTACCATTATCCGACGATCGCCGGCACAATCGTGGCAGCCTGTGTGGTGCTCCACAATGTCTGCCTCTGCTCAGGGGAGGCCGAGCCAGAGCCACAGTCAGACTCAGACAGCAGTTCTGACAAGGACAATGATGAAGAAGAAAGCGCTGACGCAGCTCGCGAGCGGAGAGGCCTCCAGTCAAGGCGTCTCTACAGTCAGGGCAAGGCTGTGCGGGACCGCCTTGTGCTTCTGCCGAGCACAACCCACCTGCAGCGCGTCCGTGAACGACTGCGTTGCACCCGTCGTCACCGCCAGCACCAGTGATGCACTGTAACTCGTCACCGGGGCCCCTTTGAATTGTGTGTGTGCGTGTGTGTTTGTACAGTGGCGTGGATGTTGTGCCGCAGCCATTTTGGACTTCGTCTGCGCTTGTGTACAGTGATGTGGATGTGCCAGAGTGATCTTGTACCTTCTTTGTGCATGTGTACAGTGTGGTGGGTGTTATGCCAGAGCCATTTTGGACTCCGTGTGTGCGTGTGCTGCGCCTTGAATGTGCCGAAGCCATTTTGGAGTCTGTGTCAGTGTGTACAGTGCTGTGGATGTTGTGCCGGAGAGAGCTTGTTGGGACTCTGTGTGTGTGCATAGGGAAGGTGTTCTAATGTTTCGGGTGTAAGTACCACAGGCTTGAATGCATGTGCACGTGTAGTGCTTTTGAATTCTGTTCAGTGCTTTGGGCACAAACTCCACAGGTCTGGATTGTGTGGGGTACGTGTAGTGTTTTTTTACTTCTTTTCAATGTTTTGAGTGCATGCTCCACAGGTCTGGATTGCATGGGGCACATGTACCATTTTTCACATGTGTTCAACGTTTTGGGTGCATATTCCACAGGTGTGGATTGCATGAGGCACATGTAGCATTTCTTACTTGTGTCCAATCTCTTGGGCACAAACTCCTCAGGTCTAACTGGCGTGTAAGCTTGTAGTGCTTTTGACTTGTATTCATTGCTTTGGTCGCAAAGTCCGCAGGTCAGGATTGCATGTGCACGTGTAGCGCTTTTGAATTCTGTCCTATGCTTTGGGTGCAAACTCCACAGGTCTGGATGCAAGTACACGTGTAGTACTTTTGAATTGTATCTATTGTTTTGGGTGCAAGCTTCACAGGTCTGGATTGCATGGACACGTGTAGTGCTTCCAACTTGTGTTTAATGTTTTGGTCGCAAGCTCCACATGTTCCTGGATTGCATGGGCACTTGTAATGCTTTTTAATTTCTGCTGTGGCACTTGCAGCTTTTTTCTGGAGATCGGCTGATGAAGGTCCCTGACACAGTAATGATAGGATTGCAAAGGATGTTTGCAAGAAATAACAAGTAGTGCCGTTCAAAGTAATTCTGCCCACTATGTTGCTTCTTTTAGGTGGTGCACCGTGGCTGGGTGTGGTTAACTTTGGTCTCAACTTATCTGAGTGAGGAACCTCATTTAACCTTGCCATATCTAGCAGATGCCAACAGGCAAAAATGTTCTTGCTACTAAATGTGCATTTTTTTAGATTTTTCACCATACTATTGGGTTTGAATGGCATGCAAACACCAGAGCCCGTGGCCGTCAACAGATGCTGCACCTGCAGGAGGCATCCGAAAACTAATAAAACTTTGGGGTGCAGAATAGAGCGCCGCGAGTGGGTGCGTCCTATTTCGATGTGCTTGGGCCTTGCCCAGCACAACCCAAGCGTCCACACTGCACCGGTGTTCTGCTGGAAGTTCCGTCATTGTTCGCATTTCATTCAAACCCGATAGGACAGTCACTGCGTTTGATTCCGATTTCCCATATTCCTTGCATGTGTTGCGAGATATGTAGTATTTTGGAGCAGATGCTTAGGTGTGTGCAGTCCACAGATCTTATGGTTGTCAGTCCCTATCTCTGAATTAATTTGACATAAACAAATTCATGGCAAAGAGGTTCCGGGTGAGGATTCGCCACAGTCGGGTGCTTGTGCGACTCATAGAGTATGCTGTTCGAAAACATGAATAATAGCGGTGTGTATATAGCCACAACGCTTAATAAAAGAAGTGTTTTTTTGCCTTGTTGCTACGAAAGGAGGACATATTCAGCCGGTGGCCAGGAATGAGGAACCGCTGATTGCTACTTGTGTTTTTTTCAAAAGACGCTATGTCGCATTATTGGCTATTTTCATCACATGTTTTTGAACCCACTTTCACGGCTTCGTCTTAAGACGGCCAGGTGCTGTTTATATTTCATTCGCTTGAAGTGGTCGGTAAGCGAACCTGCCTCCACAATGTTTTAATCTAGCCGATAGATGTCGTCGATTTTGCAGGTGTCACCAGTAATACACTAGCCTCTTTCACATAATGCTACAACCTTGTGTACACATTTTAGGGGCCAGAGTTACGTTATGAAAATAACCATCATGCACTGTGAGAACAAAATAAAATGGCTCCATCTTGTACAACAGAAGTTTATAACCATTCCATTGTAACAATTACCATCTTGTGACATAAATATTTACATTGGTCTGCTGAAAAAAATGTACTTCTTGTGATTGAAATATTATGTACATTAAAAGGAAAAACGAAACATTAAAGCCACGCCTTGGTGAACGAAAATAGATTTAAAAATAATAAATAAAAGAAAAGCTGCCAGGAGGCAGCTTAGTCCAGAGGCGGCGCAGTGGGGGGCCTGCAGGGCAGAAGCAGGCATGGCTGCCGGGTGGCCGAGGTCATCAGGACCAGCAGCAGGAGCAGCAGTGTCAGCTGCCGGATAGCCGAGATTTGCTGGAATGGCGAAAGTTTCGAATGATGACCATTCCAACTACAGATCACCCATATTGAATAATTGCAGAACATACTTCAGTTGGCGTTGTGTTTCAAGCCATCTACATATTCATAATGGAACAGCACACATTTTACAAGGACAGAGGAAGGAACCGGACAGGACAAGCGCTGACTAACAACTGAAAGGTTTATTATCAGGAAATCAACCTAAAGTCTCGCTTGCTGTGGGCTAGAATCTCAGGAGAACTAAAATATTTTCACTCAGAGTACAGCATGCTCCTCGGAAGGAGATAGCAACTTCTATCACGATGACTAAATAAACGCTGGGAAATATCACTTAATTATGTTCCTTGAAAGCAGTTGTGAATATATATATATATATATATATATATATATATATATATATATATATATATATATATATATATATATATATATATATATATATATATATATATAAGTAGAGTGAAAATTACGAACGTTTAATGCTCCGAGGGTTATATATGCACTCTTTTGTTATGTGTGTACATATGTGTTCCCTGTTGAACTCTGACCTTTATGCAGAGCACCACCTGATTGTTCTGGAACTGTTACGTGCCTGTGACGATTATTACGGGTGGAAGAAGAAAAGAAGCGAAAGGGAACGAGCGCGTTCCAGAGAACGGCGAGCGCGAGCAGAGAACGGCGAGCGCGAGAAGAGAACGGCGGGCGCGAGAGGAAAAGGAGCGGTGAAAGCCAGGGTCGGGCCGCGACGCACGGCGACGACCAGAGCTCGGAGGGAGGACCAGCCGCTACGGACGGCGACGCTTGCTACGAGCAACTCCACGGGGAGTACGAGACACCGGCTTCCGCATCATCACATCAAGCGGCGACGCTCCGCAAGGCACCGAGGAGAAAGACTTGAACCTAAGGCAAGGACGGTAGCGGGAACGGGCTATGAGTGCGTTGACGTGACTTTGACTGCCTTCAGTGTTTTGCTTTTCTTATTGCTAATTCTTTTCCTATTGCATCGCTTCTGACAGGTTCTTATATTCATTCTTGTAAATATATAATTTCTTTTCTTGATCCTCTCATGGGCGTCGTTTCTCTCTTTTCCCGATTGACGATGACAATTTGGCGAGCCTGCCAGGATTCCATTAATCCACTAGCCTGATCTCGTTGGTCCGGAGGAGAGCTCGCGACCATGACTGGGTCCGGGGTTGTAGAGATTGATAAATTGATGGCGGCTGGAAGGGAACTAGGATACACTGGAGAGGAGCTGAAGGTCTGCGTTGAGAGGGAGAAAAATATTCAAAGAGAGGAAAGGCTGCAGGCACGGGAGGCGGCAAGAGAAGAGCACGCGGCGCAAGAACGCGCATGTCAAGCGGAATGTGTCCGAATGGATAAGGAGCGGGAAGTTCTACAACTCAGAATCGCTGCCCAGGAAAGAGGAAATCGCGAAGTGCGAGGGGAAGGAGGAGAAGGCGGTTCGACTGGACCAAGTCATAGCGCCAGTCCACACAAACTGATACCGCAGTATAATCAGACGCGCGACGACCTTGACGCGTATTTGCAGAGGTTTAAGCGTACGGCCACAGGCCTCGGATGGCCACAAGACAAGTGGGCAACCACTTTAAGTCTTTGTCTCACAGGAGAAGCCCTGACGGTGGTCGGTCGCATGACCCCTGCGGATACGATGGATTATACAAAGATGAAACTGGCGCTGCTTCAAAGATTCCGGTACACAGAAGAAGGTTATCGCGAAAGATTCCGTGAGGCGAAGCCCGGAGATGGGGAAACAAGAAAAGAGTTTGCAGCCAGGTTGACGGGGTATTTCGATAGGTGGATCGAAGTGGCAGGAGTCGAGAAGACTTTCGAGGCGCTCCGGGACCGAATGCTAATGGAGCAGTTCATGACAACTTGCGCTAGTAAGTTGATGGTCTTTCTCAAAGAAAGAGACTGCTTGACCCTAGATGACTTGGCTGAAAAAGCCGACGTCTTTCTAGAAGCAGAAACTCAGCCGAGCGCTTTGAAAGCGAAGGTGGAGGGACAAGAACCGAAAACCAGTGCAAGTACAGTCCCTAAAGCTTTAAGAGAGGACACACGGAGGATCCTCCTATGCTTTTTATGCAATAAGGTGGGACACAAAGCCGAGAATTGCAAGGGTCGCAATCAACAATACAAACCATCGACATGTTGGCACTGCGGCCGGATGGGACACAAGGCCGACAAATGCACTATGAGGGCTGGCGATAAACCACAAGCTTCTTGCCTGTGGACAGCCTCCGACGAAACGGCAGGCGAACCAGATGAGACCTACCTTACGTTAAAAAACAGCGACAAAATACCAGTGGTTAACGCAGCTGTAGGGACGCCACCCAAGTTTCTGGTAAAGAATATGCCTGTGGTCGAAGGCCGCATTGGCGAGAGAAGAGTTACGGTGCTTCGGGACACTGGCTGCAATACAGTAGTCGTAAGAAAGAACTTAGTGCCCGTTGGGTGCTAGACTGGAAACTGTAGTCCCGTATATTTACTGGACCGAACAGTGAAATACTTACCTGAGGCGGAAATTGTGATCAACACACCCTTTCTGGCAGGAAAAGTCGTGGCGAAGTGCATTGACGATCCCCTATACGACTTAGTGCTTGGCAACGTTCCACAAGTGAGAGATACCAAGGATCCGAACCCATATTGGGATTCCGATCAACAACGAAGTGACGAGATGAAGACACCTACTGTCCAGGGAGTTGGCCACCAGCTGGACAAGAGAGCTGAGGTACCAGAGAGGAAGGACCACAAAGAGGCCTCTCCGTACGACTCGGAAAACACGGACTTGGGACTGATAACTCCGCTTTCAAGTACCGCGGGAGTGGGAGAGTCGAGGAAGAAGAAGAGCGGGAACAAAGCGGAATCTCCACTGAATGTGCCACAGGTACCGATTCTCGAAACGACAGTCGAGGAGCTTTCAACAGAACAGAGGAACGATGCGTCCTCAAGGAAATGTTTCGACAAGGTCGGAAAGGTGGTAAAGAAACATAAGTGTCGTACGAAGTATGAAATGGTAATAAAGAACAACCTTCTTTTTCGGAGCTGTATATTTTCCACCGGGAGGAGTATAGAGCAGCTGGCTCTCCCAGCAAGATTTCGACCAACTGTCATGGCAATGGCACACGATGGTATCATGTCAGGCCACCAAGGCATGAAGAACACGCTAGCACTAACGGCTGAAGAGTTCTTTTGGCCGGGCATGCAGAGTGACATCAAGAGGTACGTGCGCTCCTGCGATGTATGCCAGCGCACGGTGCCAAAAGGCAGAGTAGGCAAAGCGCCTCTTTGGACAATGCCCGCCATCGAGACGCCATTCAAGAGGGTGTCGATCGACATCATCGGGCCGATCAACCCAACGGCGAGTTCGGGCAACCGATATATTCTGACCATGGTGGACGTCGCCAAAAGGTACCCGGATGCTATTCCATTAAGAAGCATCGGCACGGAGAAAGTGGCAGAAGCCTTGGTGGAAATGTTCTCTAGGTATGGAATCCCGAATGAGGTTTTTAGCGATAGAGGTTCCTGCTTCACGCCGGACGTCATGAAAGAGGTAAGCCGGCTGCTGTCCATAAAGCATCTCATGACTACACCCTACCATCCGATGGGGAACGGGTTGGTGGAACGATTTAATGGAACCATCAAACAGATGATTAGAAGAATGTCTCAAGAAAGGCCTAAGGACTGGGACAGGTACCTACCGGCACTACTGTTCGCCTACAGGGAAGTGCCACAGGCAAGCCTGAAGTTTTCACCATTTGACCTACTATACGGCCGAAGAGTTCGCGGACCTTTGGCCATCCTTAAGGAGATCTGGTCCAACGAGACGCTCGAAGACGACGTGAGGACGTCCTACGGTCACGTACTCGAGCTAAGAGAGAAACTACAAAGAACATGTGAGTTGGCTTACCACTTCTTGGAAGAGGCCAAGATCAAGTACAAGGAGCACTATGACAAAAAGAGCGTAAACCGCCAACTGAAAGAAGGGGACTTGGCCCTCATTCTCCTACCGAGCGACCACAACAAGTTAATATTGCAGTGGAAAGGACCATTTGTAGTATCCTGCAAAATGAACGAAGTGGACTACGAGCTCGATGTTGGAGGACGCAAGAAGGTGTTCCAGGTGAACATGCTCAAGAGATACCAAGAGAGGGTCGAGGTCGAACGGGGGCAGCCAAGCTGCAGTGCGGCAACGCAGGAACTTGGCGAGGCTACACTTGCTGGAGAGGCCAACAAGGCATCGACGCCTGATAACGTGATTGCACATGACTGGAAAGATGTCACGGTCAACGATGACCTGGATGATGATACAAAGATGAGGTGTGGAGGTTGATTGAACAGTATAAGAGCATATTTTCAGATCTTCCAGGTCAGACTAACTTGATCACGGGCGACCTGAAATTGACAACCGAAGAGCCTGTGCGGGTAAGGCAACATGCGTGGCGATTTTCCGTCCAAGAGACAGTCGAACGTAGATTTCGGAAAGGCTCCCACTGGGTGTTATTGAACGGTGCACGTCACCGTATAATGCGCCGGTTGTAATTGTTAGAAAGAAAGACGGTTCTAACAGGTTTTGCGTTGATTACAGGAAGTTAAACGACGTGCTTAAGGATGACGCAGAGCCAATTCCAAGGGCGGACGTCACCTTCGCCAAGGTGGGCCGTAAGAACTTTTTCTCTAAGCTGGACCAAGCGAAGGGATACTGACAGATCCCGATGGAGGATTTGGCCAAGGAGAAGACAGCGTTCTCGTCGAGTAGCGGACTTTACCAGTTTAGGTTCATGCCTTTCGGGCTCAAGACTGCCTCTGCTACGTTCACCAGACTGATGAGAAAGTTGCTGCATGGAATTCCGGAGGCTCATCATTACATTTATGACATTCTCATCGCCTCGGATACGTGGACGCAACACATGAAAACTTTGCAGACCGTTTTTGATCGTTTGCAAGAAGCTAACATCATGGCTTGGCCGAAGAAATGCGAGATCGCATTTACAAAGACGACCTTCCTCGGTCATGAGTTGGGTGGAGGACGAGTCGCACCCCACGCGGAGATGCTTGGAAGGATACAAGACGCGCCAAGGCCGGTGACAAAACGTCAAGTGAAGTCGTTTCTCGGGCTGACCGGCTATTACCGCGATTTCGTCCCAAACTACGCGGATCTTGCTACACCACTGCTGGAGCTCACGAAGAAAGGAGAACGAAACCAAGTTGAATGGGGGTCAGCACAGGAGGAGTCGTTCGAGAGACTGAAGGACTGCTTATCGAGACCACCTATCCTGTTGGCGCCAGATCCCGACAAAGAATTCGTTTTGAGGACGGATGCATCTGATGCATGCCTGGGCGCAGTATTGCTCCAGGAAAGTGAAGGACTGCTGCATCCAGTGGGATATGCAAGCAGAACACTGGGAAAATCGGAGAAGAATTACGCCACCGTAGAGAAAGAGTGTCTGGCGATTGTTTGGGCCGTGGAGCGATTTAGGTTGTTCTTATATGGCAGAAAATTTCGCATACAAACGGATCATCGAGCTTTGGAGTTTTTGAACACAACGAAGCACTCCAACAGTCGCATAATGCGATGGAGTTCATCATTGCAGGAACAGGACTTTCACATCGAATACATTAAGGGGAAAGACAATGTTGGAGCATACTTCTTAAGTCGTCTAGAGAGCTAAGCCGTCAGGGGATATTTGTTCGTAAAGGCAGGACACAGGGTTAATGAGACCCATTAGGATTTTTTTTTCGTTTTTCTTGTTGAATTAGGTATGGACCAGTGTGTGTTGCCCAGGTGATTTGTACGAGCAATTAGGGATGCGAGAGTGTAACCACGGTTTGTTTTCGTGATTTGGGCGATATTAATTTTTGGGATGTGGAAACGGCATACGTGCGTGAGTGCTAAGGACCAAGTGTGGTAGTATTTGTGAATGTGCCGCGGTCACTACAGCAAGCCATCGAGGAGGTCGCCTTCGTGAAGAAACTTCATGTTGTGAAGTTCTCAAAATGAGGGGGTGTGTCACGTGCCTGTGACGATTATTACGGGTGGAAGAAGAAAACAAGCGGAAGGGAACGAGCGCGTTCCAGAGAACGGCGAGCGCGAGCAGAGAACGGCGAGCGCGAGAAGAGAACGGCGGGCGCGAGAGGAAAAGGAGCGGTGAAAGCCAGGGTCGGGCCGCGACGCACGGCGACGACCAGAGCTCGGAGGGAGGACCAGCCGCAACGGACGGCGACGCCTGCTACGAGCAACTCCACGGGGAGTACGAGACACCGGCTTCCGCATCATCACATCAAGCGGCGACGCTCCGCAAGGCACCGAGGAGAAAGACTTGAACCTAAGGCAAGGACGGTAGCGGGAACGGGCTATGAGTGCGTTGACGTGACTTTGACTGCCTTCAGTGTTTGGTTTTCTTATTGATAATTCGTTTCCTATTGTATCGCTTCGGACAGGTTCCTATCTTCATTTTTGTAAATATATAATTTCTTTTCTTGATCCTCTCATGGGCTTCGTTTCTCTCTTTTCCCGATTGACGATGGCAGGAACATATCATGGCATATATGACGTGTTTTTTCCCAATAACTCTTACTAAATCCTTCAGCCTTTCATAAGATGGCTGGGGGTGCCTTTTTTTACAAGTTTTGTAAATTGTGCCATTGTATACTCACACTGTCCTCACACATACCAGAAACACTGAATTGACAGATGCTATCTTTTTTTCATTTTTCTTAACTATCATTGTAGTGACCAAACTACTGCCTGGTCATAAAACGCTTGAAATGCATGCAGTGCCTGATGCGGCAGTCTTCTTGTCTTTAGTAACAAAGGAAAAGGCATGTGCACCAATACCAGTCATCAACCAATCAGAAAATTTCGTAGGGCATTAAGCAATTTGTCTTATACGTGTACCTGCTCAAGGGCAGCAAGCCTAGCCACGGTCAGCTCCACTAGTCGCTGCTGGCCTCTGGTGAGTTGCTCGGCCACTCCGAGCAGAATGCCGTTCTGCTCGGGGACACCGGGGGCGGGGGCGGGGGCGGCTGGGCGGCTGGCTCTCAGCTACACACAAAGGCGATTGTGAACCAAGCTGGGAAGGACAATAAGAGAAGGCAGGAACTGCAGCTGGCAGCGACGAGTGTGCTATCACACCCCTTGGGCAGCCATTGCATTATGAAGACAGCAAACTGGTCCATATCAAAAGCGTATGCAGAGAAGACACAGGCTGCACTCGGAGCAATTTCTGTTTGCAAACAATGATAAAGTAATAACCCCCCCTTCCCCCTTCACTAACTACTACTTTTAAGGTATAGAGTGGTTTTGCGGACATATGTGCTAGAAACCATTTTCCTCGTCTGCCTAAAGTCCCGCATTCGGACTGTTTTTGGATTTCTTTCGTATTTGTTAAAATAGTCAGGATATACTTCAACTAAAACTCAAATATCAACGCATACTGTAAGAGACATTTACCGGTGCCACTGGTTCCTGGGACTTCCTCAATAGATACATTGCTGCCTGCCGCAGCTGGCGATGGTACAGCCTGAAAGTGACGGGGTTCAGGTGAATCTCGCTATCATCGAGCAATATTGAAACAGTAGGAGAGACAAAAAGTCAGTATGTTTGGCATTTCTAGAACCCTACAGAAATCTATAATCACATGCAAACTTGTGTAATTCACGTAAAGTCGCTGCAGCTGTCTTCCGAGGAGGCTTCTTGTACCTGAACATGCTCAGAGTGCCATTGTTCACTGTGTCACAACAGACACTGTAGTGATTTACCCATGTGTGCACTAACCATATGTATAACTGTCCAAAACAGCTAAGAACAATTACAGGCCCTGTGGTTGCACAGGTCATGATATTTTGAGGTGAAGACGACTATAGAATGTGCTGCAAGTACATTTGGACCCCACAACTGAACAGAAGCATCCAGGTTAATACTCTAATCATGTCGGCATGTGCGACGAGGCCTCACTGTTTATTGAAAACTTTATATGCAGCCTCTTTAAGCATAGTATTTATGCTGCCATCTTTGCCAGATATAGTCGCGTGTTCTACCGAGTACCTCTTAGCAGCAGGCTGCAACTGCTACTTTCCGATCAAGTAGTCGGTAATCATCAGGTAAAAGGTTAATAGATAAACATTTGTCTAAAATTACCAAAGTGAGAAGCTGCAACTCGATATAAGTTTTGGTTCCACAAAATGTACAGACAATTAAATAATTTGTTCTGCAAAACATGTCTGAAAGTCTTGGGCAAAAACAAAAGAGCTCCTTACCTGTGGCCCCGGCACCGCCGGTGCCCCGCACCCCTCCACGGCATCGGGGCCGACAATGGAAATTATCCTCCCGGCCTCGCCAGCTACTGCGCCTCCGCCCGTCCCTCTGAAGGAAAACATAGCAATATGAGTTGTTATTTTTTTTCTTGGTCGAAACTATGGATTGAATTTAATTTTACAGACGTAGCTTACTCATCTCCCTTGGCGGTTTATTTGCAATGCTAACCTCAGTCTTCAGACCGTAAATGTGACACTTGTCATGTGCAATCGTTATCCTCTAAAACCGCGGAATACGTCACATTCGCAAGCCATGCATCCGATATCAAAAGTCGGGAACACTCACCCGCTGTTTTAGCGGAAGTCATCGGTCTTCTTTTTGGCGGCCCGCACCCTGTCGGTCCAATAATGTTGCTCCCTCCTCCTGTTTTTGATGGCAGGCCCGATGGCGTTGAGCTAGGCGACGAGCTCAGCCCAGAGCTGATCTTTTTCCATCTGCGTGACTGCCGGCGTGAGATCAGCGGCTCCCAGCGCGATTTGGGGATGTTGTTCCATAAAATTCAATAGTACCTCGCGCTGGGCTGCCGATACTCGCGGATCTAATCTTGACGTCTTTGCTGTTGGCTCCATCTTTGCCGCCGATCGTAGCAGACGACTTAACACTCCGAGTGAATGTGGCATTCATTGTTTTATCGCAGATCACTGCGAACAACACAAATTTTTAAGTTTCTATTCACTGAAAATCGATTAGATCTACGTCGGAGCTCTAGAAAACTTTTATCATGGTGGCCCCTCCTTTACGGGAGCGCCGTCGGAGTTCAGCTCTGCGTCGAGCTGCGTCCAAATCGCGTATTTATGGGCGTGGAGTGCACCCGTCCTGAAATTCAGCTTTGCCTTGCATCATACGGAACGTTCCTCCTGCAAAATTTGTCATTTTCGATCGCTGGGCCGGCGGAACCCGCGAGTGCGACGTGTCCGGCCTTTTTCGCTCTGTCCCTTGAATTGTAGCAGACGATCGTAGCAGACGACCGTAGCCTCGAAGCAGGCGCCTGCGCCGCCGGCGCGCCGTAAGGAAAA